TTAATCGCATGGATTTTTTGCGATTAATCGCATTGTTATGGCAAAGTTCAATAATGAATTCAAAAGTAGTGTATTGCACACTTTTATTTTAAAAGTACTGCTATATGAAGAAAAGGGCAATAACATTTGGTTTGCAAACACTTTAAACAAATAAGGTTATTTTTAACAGCAGTATTCCCTTTACACAGTAGCAGTTATAACACAGTTATAATGATTCTGATAACAGATATTCAGCCAGTGTTCATAACTTTATTTTTATGTGTGTAATAGATGCAATTTGAAATATACACCTTGAAAACTGCAAACATATCTACGTCATGTTTTCATGTTTGTTAAATTCTCAGTAGCGATAACTAAATGATGCTTATTATACATATTACAAACAAAAACACTTTAAAATCTCGACAATATCTATTTTAATATTGTCACTGTTGTAAATTGTTTGATTGCATGATTTATTTTTATTGTGAAGAGCATGAAAGCGGAAGTGCTTTTACTTTGAAGAGACAGGAAGTAGAATGGTACGTGTTCTTGACGCTAACAATGTTAATATGTAGAAAACCACATGTCGGGTGCAAGAGCGCGTTGTGTTCACTGTAACACTGTAATACTGCAGTTCAGACAGTAAAGTGTTCCGTTCAAACCAGACGTGTCTTGGTCCTCACGAGAAGATCCACTTCACAACAGTCACGCTTGATCTGTAACGAGACGATCGCGCTCGCGTGTGTGTGTGAGAGAGAGAGTGTGAGACGACTTGCTTTAAAAAAAAAAAAACGTTCTCAAATTATTATTACCTAACATATTCATGCTATAGAAATAATCTAGATATAACTGTTAACTTTGACTCATCAAAGCGTGTCAACCTCACTTGTTTGTGTATTTCTATCAGGAAGCATGGAGAGCACTCACTGTGGTCATTTCTGGTTCATACATGAACTACAAATACGTTTCCCCTTCATGTAAGGTGGTTGAAGTTTCTTGTTAGGAGGCATTTTGATAGCGGACATTGACCATGACGGCATAACACTGCATTTCTCTCATACCAACTAGTTTGTGATTCACAGTAAACATGGTGAAAGTTTGCCTTGGATTGCATACCAGACAAACTGAAAAGTTAACAATTTATTGCAAATTTGTTGGACTTCACAACACATTCACTATAAATAGCGTAAACAACGTGAGGAAGAATGTAAAGTCCGTGTTCTTAAGGCTGCTAGTCTCTTTGTCAGTCATGTCTCTCTCTCACTGAGCTTTTACCTTTCGACATCCTTAAACTCTCAGCACTCCAGCAGGTCGACAAGCAAACGTTAGCATTGCCTCGGTATCTGGAGCTAAACAAATACAGAGCCTGGATTTCTGGCCTGCTGTGGTCACTCTGCCTCTGTGTGACGGTTAAAAAAGGCAAACCCTTGTTGTGACCAACAAAATACAACTGCAAATGAAGATGGGAGCGCTATGTTGTGTTCATGGTGCCGCCTGAAAACAACAGTATAAAGCCGCTGCTATACTGCCGCACTTCTACTTATGACAACCACAGACACATTTTTAGTGATGTTGCCACACTCGCACAAGATCTAAGTCTAAGATACTAGTTACTTTGGTTAATAAAGGTGATAATAAACCATAGTTTTCCTGTGATATTCACCTATTTAACAGCACATTTTAAAAAGGCTGTATTGTACCGTTTCTACTAACAACTGAATGTGTAATTCCCTCACTCACCACTATCTATAAAAGCTGCTGTAGTGAAAGAATTTCCCGTTGCGGGATTAATAAAGTAACTATCTAAACTTTACACACACACACACACACACACAAAACACTTACTGTCTTTCTGCTACAGATGAGAGTTGTGCAAAAGCTCCAGGAAAGATTAACATTTTGTGTTTTGCTGTGAATGTGTGGGCTGCGTTATAATGTCGCAGAAAAATCACTTTACAACTATACCATTATCATGTCACCTGCTGCCTGCCTCCATAGACACACACACACACACACACACACACAGACGTTCAGCTCACAATCTGCATCGCAACCGTGGCTTGTTATTCAAGTGTTGTTTTTCACAGTAATGCTAATATAGAACTGTGAGCGTGTTCGTCTTTTGTGTCCTCAGATGCTGCAGGAGCAGCGTTGAAAATACACTAGAGCAAAGGGCAAAACTGCCCCTAAGAAATATCATTTTGCAACCGATACCACTAGGAGAGGGGCAAAAAATGCCCCCGAACTTTCTAAACGAATAAATAAATAGAGCGCTTCTTAATCAGACCTGTGACTGCGGTCAACTCAGCAGACACTTACATGTTAGTGCTCCTATATGCTGACATTCACGGTAAACGCATTCAAACGGCGCAGATCGGGAGCGAGCGAAGGACTTTGAAAGTTAACGGAAATATTAACGTGAGACAACATCCGGTTTCTTCAGACGAACATCCGGTTTTCAGAATAAGATGCCAACAAAGTATACATATTGCATAATGGAAATTAGATTAAATGAATTATATTCACATTAAGTATAAAACATGCTACCTGCATCTCGTGAGTTAAAGGGAAAATACACCTAAATTGTGCGTAAAGTGTCTTTATTCTTTGATTTGAGGGTTGCTAATGAATAATACCTGACTGACAGTCAATTAAGATATTTTACTAAGTAAAAACTCTGAACTGAATTTGTACCTTCAAATGGCACATTTTTGAAATTTTTAAGGTGCTATAAAAATGTTTTTCTCAAAAAGTCCACACAATGACTAATGCATAAGTTCAGGACAAAAATGGGTAATATCACAATATTTGAGGTGCTACAAAAATATCTTTCTCAATAATTCGACACAATGACTGATGTATATGTAATCAAGGCATCGTTGACTTAATAATTGTTAATAGTTGTTTAAAAAAATGTAATAATAACAATAAATAACCACAAAGAAATACGAATAAATTGAATATGATTGTCTGATTTATGTTTGTTTTTTGTTCAAAAAATCGAAGAAAACACTTTGAATCTGTAGACTACTGCCTAATAGTCTTATAATTGCCATTTGATGACAATTGCTCATATACTGTAAGCCTAAATAAGTATATTTATTATTTTGAACAAAGGTTAAATGTTATTTCACAAGTTTCTAAAAGCGCCCCCAATTTTTTGAAAATGCCCCTGGATTTCAGTCAGTGGGGGCAAAAATTGCCCCCAAAAAAATATGTAAATTTCCTACCCTGTGCAGGAGGTAGTGGCTAAAGCGCTCAAACACCACGGGATCACTGCCGAGCATGAGTGCTTTGAGGCCTGTGGCAAAAGACTGTTTGATATCTCGAAATTCTATCTCACGGTTAGTCTGTTTACTGCCCACACACTGTCAGCGCCGTCCTCCCTTTGACCGTTTAACGGTTTCTGTAGCTTAAAAAATGCAGAAGTAGAAGAGGTCCAAAAAACTTATGGAAGAAATAGTTGAATAAAGAATAGGATAGCTATAGATTAAATTTCCCTTTCTTTTTCAATTTCTTTGATCCTGTAAATTTGCCTATTGAGCATTGCAATTCTCCAACATTGTAAGACTCCCAATGGACAGTTTAACAAAAAGAATCACAATAGATGTAGCAGAACTAGAGACGCCTTTTTCATTCTTAACTTCATTCTTCGTCTTTAAAACCTGGCTTACCCACAATGCAACTTGACCACTGAATGACCACAGAGATTCAGATGTGTTATGCCACTATGCCACTATGATATATAGCCGGTAACTATTTTTAACTTCATTTTACTCTCATTTAGATTTTTAAGCAAGTATGAATGCCAAAGACTGCTCTTTTATTTTGAAAGTAGAGGAGGGGTGTAACAGGATGACCCTTCACTTCCAGGTCAAATATCATTGAATTGACGTTTAATTAAAAACAATGAATTGATCTGCTCTGTTTGAGTTTATGCTTAAATCATCTTGTGCATGAATCGGATTGTGCTCTTAAAAATAAATTGGTGCACGTGCACTCTTATAGTTTAACTTGCAGACTGAGCAGCGCTCAGTAGGGTGTAATGGTTCAATACAATACAGTGGTGCCACGGTTCAGTACGTTTTCAATACAGCAAAAAAGGTGAGACTAGTGAAACTCTCAAGGGGGCGTGTCTGAAGAACATAGCTCCTCCCTCTCTAGTGAGGTAACGTGTCGTACAGTCAGCTAGCTTTGTGTCGTCCGGCCGTCTGCTGTCAGAGCAGCAGCGGGTGCTTCGGACATTTGATTCTCTGTTTGAGCTTTTGTTTTCTTTTACAAAGCAGGAATTATGGTCTGTAGAAATGGGCTCGAGAAGGAGTAGTGTCACGGGGCTCAATAGCATTAAGTATCATAAACTTGTGCTTGTCATAGATCTTATGTTCTGCAATACTCCAAACTCCAGTGGAAAAGTCCCATTGGCATTTTGTCAAGGGAGCCAGTGCGATGCCAACACGTCATCCCTGCAGTGCTCTGTACGGCATCATTTATTCCTACTTACCTTTCAGTCCACCGCCCACTTCTGAATGCCCTCTGATGGGCATCTCCACTGACACTGAGGGTGTTATTACGTTTGGTGACCGTATGTTGTGTGACTAACGCTAACGTAGCTCCTCAGGGATTAAGCATTCATTTACTTTAGTTCAGGAATATGGCTGTTGGAAGTTGTTTTGTTTAAATATATGTAATTTATTGTTTGGACAATTAAGATAAGTCATAGTTAATATGTGATAACGTGAGTTGTAAATAATAAGGTATTGTGCAGCCAGTGTCAGTGAGGCCAGGCCGGTCGCTGACACTTGGGATTGGTAATGTTACCGGAGTGAAGCCATCAAACTCAGGCATTTTTCACCTTTTTTCCACACAAACTGGCAACTTCATCACTGACCACACAGCGTTACCGCGTGATACCAGCTCATTCTACTGTAGGCCCACAAACCGAAACCAGCGTCAGATATCTTCCACAGAGACTAAGAACACATTCAGTTTGGACCCCTCAACATCTTTACAACGATTCATTCTCAGTCATGATCTTTTATTCAGCATCTTTCTAAAAGTTTTGTTTCTTTTTTTTAATTAAATATTGGTCTGAATGAAATCAATATGACTTTAGATCACCGTAGCTTTATGAAGCAGTCTAATCGTGGTCTGCTGTGGACTGTAGGCTCATCTCAGAGAAGAGCTCCTGCGTGTGAATCAGCCCTCTGTCGTAAAGACTCAGTTTGTTCCTCAGTCTCTCCTTGGCTGGATTGTCCACCACAAGAGCTTCAGCTGAAACATACAAAACACAGCAATTGATTACTTCTAGTAGGCTAACACACGCAGAGTATAGCTCACCTGTGTTGGGCCCATGTGCTTCTCCATGTGCTCTGAGACAAAGACACTGGGCCTGACCATTTTGCAGGCAAGGCTCAGCCTCATTTGGGTAGGTAGCATCCAAACCCCCACCAGAAAGGATTTCACACTCACCTGTGTCAAATCTTCACCCAAATGTAACGCTGGCCTCCCATTGGTCAAGGACCACAGACCCCTGGAGCTCAGCCACCAAACTACAAAGCTCCCGAGCACACTGAAACAGGGCTTATCCCTCAGACCCTGGACGGACTAAGGAAGCACGAACACAACGTTGCTGTTTTTAGACGAGACCCTAGGTCAACTGCTTTACATTCGCTGGATGAAGAGAGACTGAGAAAGGGAGAAGTGGACAATTTGCCTGCAGAAGTGAAGAACACAGATTCTTCAGAGAAAGAGAAGGACGGATTCTCTTTCTAATCAAGTCGATTCATGCCGGTTACAAGGGCAGAGAATTCCCTTAATGAGCCGAAGAGATTCTCTGCTGCAGAGGGAATTCATTGAGCAACGATTGGAGCCGAGTGTGGGACCGACCGATTGGTTGAGAAATCATCTCACAGTAAGGCGTACTCAAGGTGTCTGGGCTAGTTAGTCATTGTGTTTCCTGTCTTGTTTGTGTTGCTGAAGTTACTGTATCATCTTATAACGTGGTGTGTATGCTCAATAACCGCTGAGATTAATGAACAAGATCGTTGATGTTGTGTAGAAGTAACTGTGTATTTCATACTGCTGCAACAGCTGGGCCAATCAAAGATCGTCAGTCGTGTTTCTGTAGTTGAGAGAACAATCTTCCGTACTCCACCATGGGGGGAGGATCCTATTCTGTTTTGTTTGCTTTCTCTCTTCTTTTACTAACACACACACACACACACACACACACACACACACACACACATATAGCTTTAAGCTAATGTAGCTCCGGGGTGAGCTAACTGCTTCAGACACGAGTAGATAATGACCTTTATATTCGCCATTTCAGAGTCTCGCGATATCATACGTTGTCTGAACTGTGCTCTCGCCCCCGCCCCCCCCCCCCCAACACACACACACACACACACACACACTCCCCCCCTTACCCCCGTTTGTTGATTTTAGATAGCGTGCTCATGAATATATAGTTGTTGTTAGTTTTAGATATTAGTTGACTAGATCATTATTATTGGAACTTAATAAACTCTATATTTATTAAAGAGCAGCTGTCTGTGATTACTTTGTGCATGTGTATTGTGGTAATAGCTGTATATGTGGTCTGTGCTCGAACTTAAACCTTCACTTTCACTCTGAATGTGTAATAGTACTCAGACTGTTGACATTGTCAGTGAACACTAATTATGAGACTTAGTTTATCGTTTGGTTATTGTTCCCTGTTTGCAGGGTGGTGCATTATTAATTCTATTGATGTCAATAATTAAGTTTTTCATATATGCTGATAACCCAAACACGCTCCTTTTCGTTCCCAGCACCTGTGAAGAATAAACCCGAGCGATAGCACCGCTACGTGTAGACTCACTCTGAGGGCCGTCTGTGCTGTCGCTGGTGAAGCCGTTGGCCCTGCAGTCCTCGCAGGTTAGACTGCCGGTCTCAGCAAGGCAGCTGCACTGCACGGGCCAGCTGCTGTACAGGTCCACCGCCCCCCCAAAGTCACTCAAATAAGTCACCTCCGACTGGCTGCATTCACGCGCCCCCGCCTGCATTGGAGAAGCGGGGGGGCTGCGCTGCTCGTCGTGCTCTACGGGAATGGAGGGTGGGGGGCTCGGCTCGGCATCATAAGGGTCTCTGTCGTCCAGGCTGTGGGGTTGGTCGGCGGGGGGGCAGCTAGGTGGAGGAAGCAGCTTGCTCAATGCAAGAAGTACCTGAAGACAGTTGAGATTTATAGGAGTTATCTTATCCACAGTCACTTAAATATGACGGCGTATTAGGACCTTTGTCGGGAAAACAAAAGAAAAATGACAGAACCGGGGGAGGGGCGTAATATTAAGAGAAAAAAAGAGATGCAAGTTGTACATTTTTATAAAACAAGATCAAGTACGCATGTTGCTTTATTGTGCAAAAGATCAAAAATAATAAATGAGTATATGTATCTTTCAGGACCAATAGGAAATCTTTAGGATTTATCTGATAAAATAAAACGGCAAAATAAAACAAACATGAGGACAAAGTGTGAGCATTATGTTCATGTAAGAACACAGAAGAGAACATGTTTATGTGCCTCCCAGGTACACACAGCGTCTGGAGTTATCGCAGTTTGCACGTTTTTTTTTCTTGCAAATTTCTGATGTTATATTTAAAGTTTCTTCTTGTAGTTTTTTCTCCTAAATGTACGACTTTACGCTTGGACATTTAACTTTTTTTCTCTGAATACTACCCCACTCCACAGTTCTGTCATTTTTATTTTGTATTTACCTACAACGGCCTTAATAAGCAGTCATAACAAAAGTGATTATAGCAGCATGAAAGAAAACCACAAGAAGCATCATAGAACTCAGCATGTGGGCCTTTGAGCGGAGGATATTTTGCAGTGCCTAAAGGTCAAGAATGAACTGGTATTGCTCACATTCTCCATGCTTGGTCTGCTGCGGTGGCGGCTAGCGGCGCAGTCCAAGGCCAGACGCAGAAGGTCGAGGGCCACGGCCGTCAGCCACTGGCCGGCCGCCTCATCCAAGAACTGCAGACAAGAGTCCACACCGCCGCTGTCCTCCACCTCGGTTACAAGCAGGTCTCTCTGACAGAGCAGACAGTGCTTACACTTACTGTGATCATACATGACTGCTGTTGTAAGACAGCACAATGGATTATGAAGCCTTTATCTGAAGGTTACATAGCCCACCCTAACCCATGACCTTACTATTCCAGCTTTAGAGTCGACTCACCAGGGAGGTTTGTTTCACTACGTCCTCTGTGACCTTCCGTCCTGTTACTGTTTCCATTACAACCTGAGAGCAAACAGACTGTAATCAATGGCAAGAAATAATGTTTCCATCAGAGATCATATCCTTCATTACAGTAAGATTTACTGTGTACTTCGTCCTATATACAATATTACTGATTTGTAGATGTCGTAGACTGTATATGAGAACTGAACGTGATGCACCCGTTGGTTTGTGGACTGCAGTTTTGAAGCCTTGAGTTCGGCAATTTGGCCGAAGCCATCTTGTTTTTTTACAACCAGTGAACAGAAGTGACCATATTTGGAATGTGGAAAAGTGAGGTAGAGACGCCGTATACGTCTCTGTTAGCTGTAGAGTCCTGTCAATCACTGTGTAGCCCCGCCCTAAAGCATCCCCTGCTTTATGGTCTGTTTGACTCTAAATGGACCATAATGTACTAAATGAACATCATGCTGTATTGAAGAAGACTTGAAACTAGAGATTGAGACCATAAACTCATGTTTACAATGTTTACTGAGGTAATAAATCAAGAGAGAAGTAGAGTCATTTTCTCATAGACTTCTATACAACCAGAGGAGTCGCCCCCTGGTGGACACTAGAGAGAATATTATACTTTTTACTCCACTAGATGTATTTGATGCTATGGTTACTAATTTGTTTTCAAAATAAGAGTTTGCATTTATATATTATAAAAGATGTAATACATAATATAATGATAATATAATACTACTGAAGTTGTTCAAACAAGCTTAATGTAATGTATCTGTGATGGTAATCAAGTGGAATCGTATACATAATGATATAACAGGGGACCATTCTGCCTAATGTGCACTTTTGATACTTGATGTGCTTTTTTTCGGATAACTCTTTTACCGAAGTGAAATGTTGATTGTTGTACTAAAACTTGTAACGGAGAGTTTCTATGCAACGACCCGATGAACACATGAAGAAAGTGCAGCGAAGCTCATGATCTTGTTACAATCACCATTCCGAAGCTGTAAACATCCAGGCTGACGGACAGCTTGCCGTCTCGGATGTACTCCTCAGAGAGGTATCCCAGGTTGCTGTGGGACCGCGTGTCCAGAGTGACCGTGCAGTTCTGATTGGCTGAATGAGGACGGAGACGAGCCAACCCAATGTTGGACAGCTTGGGCTGCAGGGCGTCGTCCAGGAGTATGTTAGCACTGTGCAGAGACGGCAGAGACACAAGACAGATGAAAGGCAGCAGACAGTGGAGCTCCACCACGCTGCAGGCGTGTACGGTATTAGTCTATAATCCCTACGTATAGCATTAGCTTTCGACTGAATAGGACAGTGTGTGTGTGTGTGTGTGTGTGTGTGTGTGTGTGTGTGGGATGGGTGGGTGGGGGGGCTACTTCAGGCACCCTTGCTCAGGCCGCACCCAATCATTTAACTTGACCTACGTCTTGATCTCAACTACACCATGAACTGCTGGCAGCTAGGGGCGTGGTTTCGGTGTGTGCGAGACGACACGGAGAGGCGACTGTTGGTTCTAAAAAACAAGGGCGGCTCCTGAAGAGGTGAACGTAGATGCTGCAACAGACTCAGTTCTATCAGGACTGGATAATATTTCCTCATTGAAAGAAGATAAAAGAATATCACTGAAGGCTGTTCTCCATTATATGTTTTTGCTCTTCTCCTGGTGAGGAGAAGTTCTTCTTCTCCTCACCAGCCAATCACCAGCCAAATATATTTTTGAAAGTGCCCGCCCTTTTCCAAACAGTTTCCAAAGACGACTTCCCAGATGGTTCTGTGTAACAAGCCAGCTGGTGGGTCAGGTTATCACACACAGACTCAGAAGGTGAAAACAATACCAGCTGTCGTAGCTGGAAATAACAAAGACACGAATGGCAATAAATAGTATTGGTTGTGGACACAGGAGGCTAAAGACGCCCTGCAGGACTGCTTTGAGTCGACGGACTGGGATGTGCTGTGTGGATCACATGGGGAGGACCTCAACAGCATGACGGACTGCATCACAGAATACACTAAATTCTGTGAACAAACCACCATTCCATCCCGGACTGTACGCTGTTTCCCCAACAACAAGCCATGGATCACCAGTGACCTGAAAGCTCTCCTTAATAAGCAGAAAGCAGCCTTCAGGTCTGGAGACAGGGACGAGCTCAGCAGAGTCCAGCACAACCTGAAGGAGAAGCTCAGCGAGTGCAAGGACTCCTACAGGAGGAAGCCAGAGGCCAAACTCCAGCAGAACAACGTGAGGGAGGTGTGGACCGGGATGAAGCCAATAACTGGCTTCAATGATGATGGACCACGCCATCATCTACCTGCTGCAACGAGCTCAGTCGCACCTGGACCTTCCAGAATCACTTTCTTTGATTTCTCCAGTGCATTCAACACCATTCAACCACTGCTGCTGAGTGAGAAGCTGCGGGTGGTGGGGGTTAACGCATCCACCATCTCCTGGATCACTGACTACCTCACAGACCACAGTTTGTCCGACTGGGCGGTGTACTGTCTGATACAGTGGTCAGTGGTACTGGAGCTCCACAGGGAACTGTTCTGTCTCCCTTCCTGTTCACCTTGTACACCACTGACTTCCAGTACAACTCAGGGTCATGCCATCTGCAGAAGTTGAAACTATTATCCATATTGAATAACCCGGACCACCCTCTCCACCACCTCCTGCAGGGACAGTGGAGCACTTTCTCCAACAGACTGATCCAGCTCCACTGTCACAAGGACAGATACAGGAGAACATTCCTGCCCTCTGCTATTAGACTTCATAATAAATCATCTCTGGCCAGATCATTGACATGACTAGAACACTGATACACCGTTGTTTGTTTGTTTGGATAAATCTTTGCACTATTGTTTAGTTAGTTCATTTAATATTATTCTATTATATTGTATATATTGTGCATCTTTATATTTCATATGTTCTACTCTGTTATTTCTGCTTTACCTGCATCTATAAATGCTGCTGTCCCCTTGATTAATAAAGTAACATCTATCTATGTAATAGTTCTCTTCTGCATGTAGTTGCATTGCTGGTATACATGATTGCCTTGTTAACAATTACATAATCACCTCTATTGGTGTAACATATTGCAGTCAATCTCTACAACTTTCCTTCCAACATGGATCTTTCTGATCTTTCCAGTCTTAGCTGGATATGATATTTGATATTTCCCTTGAAGAGAGTGTTCGTTCTGTGAAGTGTTGAACGCCACAGTGACGACGTCCTCTTCAGAGACACAACAGACAGGCTGTAGTTCTTCATCTCGTACCTGGAGATGTTGCCACAGATCACCGGGCTGGTCTGAGCTGTGTGGAGGTGATGCAAGGCCTTTGCAGTTCCCTTAATGATGGCGAGGCGCTGCTGCCAGGAGAGAGGGGGCTCTCCGTCCTGTACAGTGACAACACAACATTTGAAATATGACACAAAAGAATATGCAAGATCGTTTACCATTCAAGGCATTTAGTGTAACGTGGTAATTAAACAGCATAACATTTAACCAACACTACCTGGCAATGTTGAATCACATGTAGGTATGTTTACAGCACACAAACGTAGTAAATACGTGTTTGTGACTGGAATAACTACACGCTTCTCCAATAATTGTGTGTTTACATGACATAACATGTTCCTACTTACAAAGTACAGACTCTGCCTCGGTCACATTACAGATTGCATCTTAAATCACATTGGGCTGTGTATTAGCCACAATCTGGCCATTACATGGGATATATTGCGATGCTGGTAAGCAAGGTATTTATTCATATCTAACTTTAGGAAAACTGATACAGAAAAGATATAGACTTTTTGTGCAATCTCAGAAATTAACATTTGCCTATATCAGTAAAAAAAAGATTGCAAGATTATTTAGGTAACCAAATTAAGTCAATTTATATATATATATATATAAATATATATATAAATATATACACAGTTTCACTATTTTACTTTTAATTTAAAATATCATAGTAAAAGAAGCAAACGCAAATGTTGTTCAAGGACATAGAAAGTACACTTTGCTACTTTTTTCTCATTGTAAAATTGTTATATTCATGTTCTTAAGTTTCAATTATATATTCTTTCAAAACAAAAACCTTTGTCAACTCCTGCAAAAGCAGAAGTTGTATCCCACTAGTTCACTTCCTGTTTTCTGAAAGTGTTACTGAGCAACTACCTTTCTCTGGCTTGGAAAACAAGTGACACACAGACTGACCTCACGTTCATACCGCAGGGTGAGCAACGTGTTGATAGAACTACCTGATGGTGTAGTCTGTGGAAGAGCGACCCGTTGGGGAGGTAAGGATAGACCAGACAGTAGCGGCCCTCATCAGAGAAACAGCACAACAGGTCTAAGATGTTTGGATGTCGGTACCTGGAACACATCACCCCCTTTGATATTGAGCACACTCCATCACATACATATAGAAAGGTGTTATGAGAGCGAGTGTTGACACGTACAAATGATGAATTTCCATTTCTCTCCTGAAGGCGTCCCACAGCTTCTTCCATGACGCCATATTTGTCTGGAAAATGATGGATAAGGAAACAGTCATTTTATTTCACAGTCTACCGCTGCCTCTAAACTCCATCTACTGCAGGTGATCCACTGACTGTGGAGAAGTACCTCATACAACCTCACATGCAAACCATCCCTTTAATTTGAATTTTTGATATTTGTATTAGCATATTTCCCAAACTGTCAGACCGTTAAGAGTGTCAGAATCAAAAATCACCTGTTTAAAAAGCTTCACCGCCACCTTTTTACTTCCCATCTGCGCTCTGAAGACATCAGAGAAGTGTCCCTCTGCAATTCTCATGTCATGATGAAAACCCCTGGTTCCATCGATGACGTCTTGGAAAGTGATTGCAGGTGGCTGACTGTCTCCGGCGGAGCTCACTGGAACACAGAGACGGAGCAGCATGAACCCTACAATTGCTTTATTTATGCTAATTCACACATGGCAAGTCAAAATTCAACACAATCAATGTATGACTTGAATGATTTAAAAGGGGACATATGCTGATTTTCAGGTTCGTACTTGTATTTTGGGTTTTTACTAGAACATGTTTACATGCGTTATTGTTAAAAAACACTCATACTGTGTGTCTGAAACGCTCCGTTTTAGTGCCTGTCTCTTTAAGCCCCCACGTCACTGCAGCTTGAGGACTCACTATGAGCGTCAACACGGATTTTAGTAGCACTTCTAACGCAGACTGTATCGTGATGTCACAACCTCACAACCACCCCTACGTCTTGTTTAAAGGCACAGTGTCTGAATACGGGCGGTGTGTATTTCTGATACTTTTACAGTATACAGCAACTAAACCTGCTTTAACTAAAAACACGTTACACAATACAGGGCCGTTAAATTAATTACTGTATATTTGAATGTTCACTTTACTTACCGGGGCATAATGCTTGACTTGCAGAGCTCTCCTCTCGTTGGAAGGATCCCTTATCGGAGAAAACAGAGGACAGGATGGTCATTTACTCTTGTTGCTGCACACCGGTCATGCAGGCTGCCTCCTGTCAATAGAACAATTCATTCTACCTTCTCTTCATCTGCTGACATCTGTCCTCCGGACTCTGCGTGTTGAATGCTGGGAGGCACAGGCGACTCTGTAAATAGACATGAGCCACAAAGAGGAACCAAAAACGGGCTTTACATTTTCCCTATGTGATGTAACTTCCTCTATCGCTCCACCAACCATCTACAATCTTGCTTGCATTAACAATATTTCAAGCATATTAAACCACAATATTTGCTGCAAATATTCGGCTTTGAATTAAATTTAGATAAAATGTAGATGCAGACAGCCCAGAATCTTGGTGCTACATTTGATCACAAGCAGGCGTTCTCCGTCTGTGGCCGGTGCAGAGATCCTAATTCACACCTTTGTATCATCCAGACTTGATCGTTGTAACGTTTTGTTGTCCAGTCGCATGCTCAAAAGTCTTCAAAAGGTTTAGAACGCTGCAGCTAGATTCTTACCTAAAACTAGACTATTTGACCACATTACACCAGCTGTAGCTTTCCTTCATGGCTCCATATCCATAAGAGATCAAACTTTAAGGTGTTTCTGATGACCTTCAAAATTCTAGATAGACACGGCTGATCGCCTTACGCCTTATACTCCAATCAGGACTCTCCGCTCTCAGAATACGGGGCTCCAGTCTGTGCTGGAGTTAACAAGAAGCCACAGGGCCTTTCCCCATCATACCCCTTCCTCTGGAATTACCTCCATGCTGACATCAGACCGTCTAAACCTCCAAACCTAAAACACCTTAACAGGGATAGTTCGCCCACAGTCTGGAGAACTTTAAGACATCCAAACTACCCCTTCAACTTTCAGTTAGTCTGTCTCAGTCTTGGCGTATCATTAATCCTCGTACTTATAGTCCGTGTTTGTTCTGCCGATGAGAATACTGTAAACGCGTTTGTTTGTGTCCCACAAGGACATGAGACTCCCAGTCGTCTCCTATCTGTGTGAATGCGTGCTTGAGCATGTTCCTTTAGCCAGTCCTCTCTCCAGGTCCCATAGTGGAGAGGAGGACCTCTGGATCCTGTTTGACATCCTTATAGACCCAATTTTCTTCATGTTTACAATATAACTAGAATTCTTGCATCCTGACTGTCCATACTGTGATTTCACATTAGTGGAACAATATCTACTGCATGTCTGTCCTTCCTGGGAGAGGAAACAGCTGCTCTCCACAACGTTTCTTCCCGGTTAAAGAGGAGTTTTTCCGATGAATGAATTGAGGGTCTACGGACAGAGGGGGTCGTATGCTGTACAGATTGTACCTTGTAGACTTGGGTTAGGGTTATGCTATTGCACATAATAGACAACACATTACAGTGTCAGTTCAAAAAATATGATTGTTTTTTTGGGCCAGAAGACGTGGCTCCTGGACTGACTGATAAGACAGAATCTTGTTCTGTACATATAATGTAGTCAGTGTGATCAGCTGTGAAATTGTGTATTGTCACACCAAATAGGCTGCTAACATTCACACACCGTAGGCACAGCTACGGGAGCAATTTGGGCTTAAGTGTCTTGTCTGACTAGTGGAGCCGGGATCAAACCGCCGATCCTCTGATTGAAGGACGACGCTGCTCTACCACTAAGTCGCCCACAGTTCTCATTAAGTTTTTTACACAATTTACATATTGACATTTTTAAAGACTCCGCTCTTAGGGCTGGGCGCTATAACCAAAAATGCATATCACTGTATTTTGTAAGATTCTGGTGGTTTCACGGTACATCACGGTATTTTTTTTCGCGTTAAAGCATTAATTAATTAACGGCGAAAACAACCGGCCAGCGAGCGGTGAACAGCTGTTTGTGTGGTGTGTCTTCTGTTCCGTCACTTCCTGTTTCCTTCACCTACAGTCCCCTGGGTCCTAAACCCCTCCAAGTACAGCTTCTTGTCATCCTCGTACCAACATACATTTATAACAAATACCACACATATTACACGGTAATCAGCGTTGCATATGTGTCTAACCAAAATACCTCTTGTTGTTTAGTCTTTGTTCATCCTGCATCGCTCTTTTCTGTTCTTTAATGTAACGTCACTGGAGCGACAGAGCCTCTCCAAGCTGTTAGCAGACTGTTGTTAGCGAGCTGTACCCAGCATGCAGTTCGGCAGTGAAATTTTATAAATGTACAATTATTAGTGTTACAAATTGTTTATGTATCACAAACTGTTGTGTCGTGGTGTTTTTCCCTGTTAAAGAGCGTTAGTTGTGGGTTACTAATTGTTGTTATAAAGTTATAACCATGACTAGGGTTCCCTCTCAATACAGCTAAGACAACTAGCTCCGACCGCAGCGCTCTCAGCGGCAAACAATATATGTTGCTGCCTGTTGAAGAGCGACAGAAGTTGTTTCGGCTGTGCACCGGTATGACGGTATATTGAGAAATTCATATCATACGGGAAATTAAAACTGGTATACCGGTTGAACCGGTATACTGCCTAGCCCTACCGCTACTCCTTGAATCCACTCAACCTGGAGCTTTAAATAGCATACAGAGCGTGCAGGAAGTTATGCATCAACTGAGTTTACTGGATCAATAATTCAACACTTGAGTTATCAAGATCTTTTGAATGTGCTCTGCAGATACATGAGGAAATGCTGGTTGATTTGTTTGTAACTGACCTGACTGAGCTGGACCCTGGATGAGCTGCAGGGCCCTGTGGTGGCCCATGTCCTGCAGCACCTTCAGCAGGTCCTGCACCCTTGGATTCTCCTGAGCCCAGGACCACAGCAGCTCCCAAGTGGGACTCCGGCCGGCTGCCTCCACGCGCTCCAACATGCGAACCTCTAACATGCTGGGTACGACTCGGACAGCTGGAGGCCGAGACAGAAGATGGACACGGAGAGTGTCAGTGTATGCAAATAAAGAATAAGAACGCGGGTTCATCCAAGCCTTTCCTCTACCCGCATATCACACAGCAACTCGTCCATATGGATGACTTGAAGTTGCTCAAGTCTTTTAACCAATCAATGAAGTGAGCATGCTATATGCAACATACAGAAGCCTTAAGGGCATTTGCATAGCAGTTTCACTTGACTTGGTAAATCCAAACTCAGAATTGATTACTGTGTATCTGTGTATCAATAACAGGCCATATTCTAATAGTTAAAGATCGGCTATTGTAGTTCCTTATTATTTCAAAGGATATGAACAGACAGACAGTTTCCTGTTGTCACAGCATCGTGTCAACAGTTTGAGAGTTGGATCACAGTCAGTGTGTTATGTGGCTGCGGTAGATCCGTATCTCCAGTAAACTCAACCCAGATCGCACACCAGAAAGACAACAACTCTTCCTCACCCAGTGCGCGCCAGCCGAGCCTGTCATCTCCACTGTCCAGAATTTTACACAGTCTCTCGGCGACCACCGGGGGGACATCGTAAAGGAACGTGGACGGGTCCATCTGAACGGGAGCCTGTCGATCCGCTGCGCCGTCAGCGGAGCGGTAGTAACGTCAGTAGTCGAGTGTCTCAAATACGGAAATCCCCCGCGCCCGTGCGTGCTAATGACGAAGTCATTGTTCAGTGAGTCAACAGACGGACTCATACTTTACCCCATGATTTTGTACGGTGGAAACAGGTAGAACTACACGAGACTACTCCATTACAGAAGAGACCCGACTTACAAATAAATATCCCCTAAAGTAGCGTCAAAGATCCTCTACAGCGAGGATGACGCGCGGAGCTGCGGCCAGTGGCGGACTCGAGCTGTTTGAGGGCAGGGGCACTAAAATAAAAGGGTACCAGCAGCAGACAACGTTCATGTGGAGCACCTCATCATGTCTTCCTATTGAAAAGCCAACCAAAGAGCACTATGTCATATTATCTCCATTAATGGCGCCCTAGAGGGCACAGCATCGTGTTTTCTCTCCTGGAGGATAGTGGTGGAACGGAGCGTATTGATCTGTGATGTGTAAGAATCCCCCCTCCTGCTCCGGCATGCATGTAAACCATGGATTAATTACACAGTTTAACCATAATAGTGTGAAATAAAGTTGTACTGCAGGTTGTTATCGGCCCATCTTCAGTAGAAATATGCGATCAGCAGATCGGTATTAATGTTTTTTAGTCGCCGATCCCTGATCGCTACATTGCTAACAACTCTGTGTTGAAATGAGCAGCAGTACCGTTGGCAGCAACCGGGGCTAACAGCTAACCACATTATGATGCCTTTAGGCTCTGTTCAGTAACAAATTGTATTGGTCGAGAGTAAATTAAAATGTTATCATCACATGATGTGTTTACATGTAATCTTGTAAAATGTAGTTTTGGCGACACATCTGAATAAAGGTAGCTGTGAAGGCGATGTATTCAGAGCAATATAAAATAGATTGGAGAGTGGATTATGAGCTGTTTCACTTACCAACACTAGCTTTAATCTTTATATCATTAATACTGCTAATTACAAGATTTTATTTTATCCATAAAAATACAATATTTTATTATTATAATCATTTGAATTGTGTGTTTTATTCAAATACACACTATCGATGATTTTAACAGAGAGAAATTATAAAAAATGTAGATTGTTTTATGGTTCACACTGCCTTCAGAGCGATGGAAGGGACTTTTGGAGCGTCAGTGAAAAATAATAGTCTGGTATCAGCAGCAGAATAGCGTGATCAGGGGACCTCTAAAAGTTATGTTTGCGACCTTTTCCCTATTTTGCTGATCCGATCCGATCCGTGATTCCATCCGAGCCGTGAGTTTTATGATCCGTTGCACCCCTACTGGAAGAGTACCCAGAGGGCACTTTGTCATGTCTTCTCTCGTCTCCTTGAATCATGTTTTGTCTACCATGGCGGCAATTACTTGTATTTTTGTAATTTATTATTCATTTGCACTTGTTATAATTATAAAAGTCTTGCACCCAGGAGACCATTTCTTATGTGTTCACTCATTTACTTACATGGGTTGTTGCTGTTTTTGTCAAGCCAGCCCTGGTGATGGATACATGGATCTAAACGAAGCCATTTTTAACTGCATTAGTGTGGAAAGCCTTTACTTTGAAGTTCTTTATTGTGGAACCATATAGTGTAACAACTTACCTGCTGATGGGGCGACTTGTCACAGATGCACATTCTGTACTGGATGTATAACTATTTTAAAATGAGAAGTAAAAATCCAACAAAGAGACCATCTTGCGGTGGGAGCACACCAGCCGAGATGCCAAATCGTTAGCGATGCCATGCAGAGTTTGATCATAAGAACGAGTTAATAAATGAAAGATAATCACTTGTTTAGCCAATCGTTTAGCTGTGAATGTTTTCTGAAGATTTTGGAACAGTTTGTATTGCTGCTCAAAAAAGACTATTTGTTTACATACAAGAATAATAAAGCAATGCCAATTCTTTTCTTAATTGTCTTTTTTCCTCACAATATAATCAAAAAGAACTGATAATAGTATAGATAAGAGTACTAGTTTAGATAAAATCCTAACCATACCTATCCCAAGAGGCCCCGCTCTCCCCTATTTGAAGCCAGGATGAGGCTTGTTCATCAAAGGAAGTGGGCCTCTTTCAAAGTAAGAGTCTTAAAGTGTGAGCTTCCCCGGAAAGCTTCTCCTCGGTGAGTTGCAGTGGAGGGGTAGTAAGAGGAAAAAAATGTTTTTGTACAAGAGACCGAGTTCTTCTTTTAACGAGATGAACTTTGGATTATAGGACTGTGCATTTGTCCTCCATCACCTTCAGTGAAAGTGTGACGTAGGAAGGAGACGAACAGTAGAACGACTACTTCCTCTTTCCTTTCAACATGCGGACATTTTGAGACTCTGCTCTGAAATGTATTTTGCATATTAACTCAATAACCTGTACAAAGAAGTGTCATATACACCTTTATTACCCAACCATATTGTATAAAATACATTTACACAGCCAATCTGAGATCTACTATTATAAGCTTCAGAGACAGCATGAACAAGTCATTCTGCAATATGAACTGAATATTAAAAAGCTTAATCCTCTATTTCATAAGATCTGATGTGTACAAGAAAAAGAAAAAGCACTTTGATTTACATTCAGAAGAAAGAGAGCAGTTAAGATGACAGTGTTTAACCTCTACAGATCAAGCATCAAACGCACACAGGAATGCTAAACACCAAGCTCTCTATCTACCAGAGTTTCCTTCAGGCTCCGCGGAGCGACATCCTTCATACAGAAGAACATGTTTGTGGACTCACAGCGGACGGGAAACTTCAGCAGATGCCAAAATCCATCATTCAATGTCATGAAAAACTGACTTTGGAGAATTAAACAGCGCGTCTTTTAACCTTGTGATCACTTACGCTATACCATATATATATATATATATA